CCAGACATAGTGCCATCCCTATCAGCTTAGAGGTAAGAGGCTGCAGCTTGTGATGAAGCAACGTGTGGATCACAGCACAGGGGCTTGCCGGCAGATCCTTTGTCAGTAGAGAGAAGAAAGAAGGAACCAAAACAGTCTGCTGCTGTGTCCCAGACCAGCAACACAGAAGACAGTGTTACAGTAAAGGAACATTTTATCACGACTTCAAGCTGGATAATGCTCCCTGGATTCTCACACTCCTCGCTAGTAATTGCTTTTACTGTGATACTCTGCAAATTTGGATGCTGATTCTATAAATCTTGCTCATACAACTTGTCCTTAGAAACACAAGTTGTATTCTTAGAGTCAGTGGTTACTCATTTGAGCAAGACTTAGGGTTCCTAACCTTATATGTCATTCAACAATTAAGGAAAAAGGACTTTCCTCTCATTTGCCTGTATTTACGAAGTGATACTTGTTTCATATAGAAGACGCATGTTTAGCTGCATCAGTGCAACATCTCTAAATAATTGAAGCCTGTTTCACTTCAAAGTGTGTTATTTCTCTTTTTTTTTTTTTCCTTCCATGATTCTCACACAACACTGGAATGTTGTCTCTGATCTTTAGCAAGTTGATACAGATCTGTAAGTACGGCAAATTGACAGGAAAAATGATGAAATCAGTCATGCTCCTCTATTTCACTTTAGTACATGAGAGGTACACCTGATTTGTATGTGGGGATAGAGGGACATCAACTGCTTTGAGATATGTGACTGATGCAGAAGAGTCTAGGATTACCAGTTTGCTTCCAGTCTGACAGGCGAAGCTGTGGGGCAAAGTTAATGATCATATGGTGTGCTTTCCTCTGGAACTCTTCAGCTAATACAGCGCCAATGGTAGGTGCAGTACCAGTTACCATGAAACACAGCAGCCTATGTCTGGCTTCAGGAATTCAGGGACCAGGTGGCAACCCAAAATTAACTATGTGCTGTGCTATGCTGTGCATCCTTTCACACCTTCATGTGTTGCTAGCACTGTTTTTGAAAACTAGGAGATGACATGAGTCTCACATTGGCAGTATGGGAAAAATACAGATTTGGGAGATGAAGAAATACTTAGAGAACATAGAAGGGAGGAATATATCACCAAAGAAATATCACTAGTAGAGGCCTCTCTTGCTGTATAAATGTATGTGTAACAGAAAATGACAGACATGATTCTTATTCTGCTTGAAAGGAATGCTTGTACAGTATTCCCAAAACTTTCAGTTTTGGTTTTGGCTTTGTGATGGCTATGAAAACTTTATAAGATACTGACAAATTCAGTCTCATTACTTATTTGTATTCCTTTATTGGTCTGTTATTGCCAGTCATTGTGGCTTGGAAAGTGAACTCTTTCTGTAAAGACCCCCCGTGTTTTGTAATTTCATATTAATGCGATATATAATAAATAACACTGAAGTCTGTTAATAGGCAATATTCAAGTGGATACTCAAACCAATGAACAGTACTCATGCCAAAAAGATCACAAGAAAAAAGTGCACAAGAGATTAGGCTGAAGGCCTCGTTGTCCTTAATGCAAATGCACATATAATAGATGTTGGAATTATTTTCGTGCCAAAGGTGAGCACATTATACATCTAATATGAGCTTGTAATGTGATACTGTAGAAAAAAAAAGTAGCAAACCTGCATGGCAGGTGCAGAGGCTTTCAGTCAGCTGTGGTGCTGGAATTACCAACAGAAGATTAAAGGCCTTATTCTACTGATGTCTGGTGGTAACCTACTTCACCAACCACGCAATTGGAATGAACAATCGAAGTAAATCAGGATAAAGCATAGCAGAAGATGACCATCAATGACAATGCAAAATGTTTGGTTTGGTTTTATGATAAATGGTGTTTACCCAGGAGGAATGGGATAATTTCTTTTTTCAGGGGAATAATAAAAAAAAAAAGGCTGAGCAACTAAAGTCTGGAATTGTATTTGTTAAAATGGCAAAGACCTCTTTAATACGTTTCATACAGAGCCACTGACCTTTGATAACTAAATCTCAATTTAAATTTGCCTGAAGTTATCTGGAAATGGGGTATGGCTTATTTCTGTTATATAGAGCTGATTGTCCTAACCATCAAAGTATTACAGGGGCTTTGCAAGCCAGGTTGTATTCCCTCTTTTGACAAGAAGCAGCATCACTTCTTGTAGCTTGCTGTCCGGCAGGCTGAAAGAATTAACATCCTGTCAGTGCTCTGACAGAGTTTTCTCTGATTTCAGATGACAACAGAAGTGTTTCTGTACTTATGTAAAATTCTTTCTGCAATCAGTTTTTCTGTGATTTTCCCTTCCCTTCATACAGTATATTTTTTCTCCTTGTGCTGTGTTATGTTTTGAGTAGAAATTAACATTAGCCAAAACGTAGAGATTCCAAATAAATCTCTTAGATCCAAAATAGTTTATACAAGACCCTGAAGTTTTGTGTCTGATCACTATAATAATTAGTCAAACATCATGTTCAACGTTCCCATAAATGAGTGAGCCTAGATTTGGACTGGGTATTAAACTCTGTGATTTGAGATGATGCTAATGCTGTTGTACTCTTGTACTCTTTAACATCTGCTGTACTTCAGCTGACTAGTAGATAAAGTGCTATACGCACATAGGCAGGAGCAAGAGTCATCTGTGAACTAGTCAGAATAAACTGAACAAAGGGTCTTGGTTATTTTAGGGGAAATGGAACATATTAATCCCTGTCTTCCCTGGTCTAAAGCTTAATCCCAGAATAACCTTTCAAGATAAATTATTTTTTGGCATTCTCAAGACCGGAGTCAATGAAGATAATCTTCTCCTAGAGTTCATGCTGTGCTGATTGTGATTCTGATACAGCATTTATATATGTACATAGTAAATATATTTGCACTAAGTTTCAAATGTATCAAAAATCCATACAGTTAATTTTCATCCTGTTACTGTTAGATTTGGGTGGTTTTGAAGTCTTAAAAGTAAATCTGTGATTAATCTTTTTAGGATTTATGGTTTTGAATACTAGTCTAATTCAGAGAATGCTAGACATAATTTTACACCAATGTTTTAATCCCATTTCATTGTGTTGCTTTTTATGTCTTCCCGTTTTAGGACTTCATGTGCTCTCTCTTCACGAATGTTAGAAATGGACAAGACTGTAAGTATATTCAGACTTCTCTCACCCATTTCTTGGGCTTTTCACAATGTGTTTGAGTATATTCTTGACTCTGTGGGGAGACAGCTATGATTTGCCAAAAATCTTGGTTCGTTATCCCTTTTGTCCTGGGGGGAAAAACAAAAAAGTTTTGGATTTAGCCAGAACTCTTGTAAGGAGATACTTCCAATGCTTTCAGGTAAGACATGTTTTAAAAATGTTTAAATGGATGACTTCATGCTTCATTTTATGGCATTCCTGGAATACTGTTGCAAATACAATAAATGTTCATTTAATCATGAATACTATGCTAGTTGTCATTTGTGAGGCACTGCAATAAAGTCCTCACAAGTTCTAAATGGCCTATTTTATATAGAATACAATATCCTTGAGATATAGTAGTGATGTTCACGTTAAACTCAAGGATTTAAGTTTTAAATTGAAGGGTCTTTCTCTTATTTCACCAGGCACATGACTTCCCATAGAACTTAATCTCTAAATACACTGAGTCCTCCCATTTTATAACGTATTTGATAGGGGAAGATAATTGCTCCTGTGGTGCACTTTGGTCTGATTCTGTTAAATTTAGTCTAGAAACCTGTCATCTATAAAAGCTAACAGAAACATCCACATCGAAATAGTTTTGCTATGGTGGTACTGCCTATACATAACAAGGATAGCAGATACAATGCGAGTTTATGCATAGTCTTTGTGACATGTTCCATTTGATATTAGATATTTACATTCGTTCAGCATTTATGTCTCCTTATCAGTCTTCTAAAGATGAGCCAGTAATATACATGATTATGGTAATTTAAAAACAAACGTAGTGTAGAGAAAGAACATGATAAATGCATATCATCTTAATCTTTATGGCTCCAGTAAATGTCATACCTTAGGCTAGACCAAATACATTTTGAGTTTCCCATGAAAAAATCATTTTCAAAACAAGTCAGTCAACAGGCTTTTCCTTACTCATTACTACTTAGCCTAAAGATCTTAGGAATCTGTTTTTGTTTCATTATCCATTTATTTCTGAGAAATATCATTTTCTTTACCTGGTACTAAAATAATAATTTCCGTTCAGTTTGTAACTGGGATGAAAGTAAATTATCTACTAATTCTGTGAAACTAGTTCCATGCCTAGGTCTTTCATTCTGTGTCATGCTTTTATCTGGAAATTAATACAACAGATAACTTCTCAAAGAGTCTCAAAAAGGAGGAGAAAATGGTGTTTTATATTGGAATCAAGCATTCAGATAGATTCTTTAGTTGTCTTTATTTGGAGAGCAGTAAATCTTTTTAGCAAGTGGAATAAACCAGTGAGAATAACTAGGAAGGCATTTAGTGAATTACACAAAGGGTGTGTGGCTTAGACCTTTTCTGGAACGCAGGCTGCAGTTTAGCTGTCGAGGCACTATCATTCTCCTCAAAGGTGAAATGATTTAGAGGCCTAGAGAAACTTAATTTTTCTTGATCACCATGTGCAACCTGGAATTTTAATGGCAGGCATAATTAATTCTTCTGATGTTAATCATCAGGGCTGGGCTCCACAATTATCAGCCTAGTGCAGCTGGGGCATGGTGCAGACATGAAAAATTAGGAAAATGAATCAGTAATAGGGTGGCAGATTTAATCTGCATCATGAAAACAAAGTTAAAAAGAGGGAGATCGAGAGAATTTCAGCTGAAGCTTTTGTGCCAATGAGCACTGACAGAACTGAAAAATGTTGCCGATGTCCAAAGTGATTGGTAATTACCAAGCCATTGAATTTTTTATTGTCAATTTATCATTGCGCCAGAGGTTAAATTTAACATCTTCTTCTAAAGCCATCACTCTAGGAGGAAGGCAAGCTTTGCATCACGTGGCCCAGGAGTCAGTGAAAGGTTAATCAGGTATTTCTTTAGTTTGTGTGTGCTTCCAAATCAGTCTTTCTTTTTTGTGTCCTTTATGCTGCATACATACCGTGGGGTATTTTCTAATTTATATTACCTGTACATTTCAGAAAAATATTAGATTGCATTCCTCAGCAGAGCCTCATCTGCCTTGCTGTGTATTTATAATGCTGTATTTTCATACTTCCCCAGGCATATTTTACACACATTTCAATATGTATATGGAAATTTTATATATACAAAGTAGACATTTCCCATGTAAGGAAAACAGATAATCGTAGTGACTGAAAGTACTGCAGGAATGAAACAAAAAATTCTAATATAATTTATTTTGTTGGGTTTTTTTTTTTCATTTTATTTCTGAACTGTGTTATTTGGTTTGCACTTTATTTTTTGCTTTTTTCTGAAGCTGTGTTGTTTGTGAATGGTCCAGTTTAAGATGAGGGTAATGTTTAGAATGCTAGAAACTGCTTTTGGGCTGAAGGACTGACAGGGAAAGGCTGTTTGCATTTCACACCTTGTACAATGCTGAGTACAGTTTTGGCACGTAGCAAATAAGAAATATTCATTATTCAGAAAAGAAGCACACCTTGTTTTTTTTATCTTCCCCCCTCAAGAATGTATAATAAATGGTAGAGTCTTTTTTAATGCAAAAGCTATAAAAGGCTGAAAGAAAGACAGCATCGGAACGTACTTGTAATAGAAATATATGACAGAAATATATGTTCATATGTTAAGGACCAAACTGAGCCCTTACTGAAGTAAGTGAAAATCTGATCAATGAAAATGTAGGATTTGTGCTTCTCTGATTATGGGGTTGTACCTGCCCTGAAAATTACAAATGCATATTCTCACATTTATTGCTATGTAGCTGTCTTTTGATACAATGCTGAATACAACTTCTGTGTACCTAAATTCCTACCTTTATTCTGCTCAGTAATCTCGCTTTCGCTTACTATTTTTTTTTTTGTGTGAGTGCTTGTTTTAGATTGCAGGCTATGCTCTGATTAAAGGAATCGTATGCATTTTCTATAAATTAAAAATGGAAATGGCCTTTAGGGGAGAGTCAGTAGAGGAATCAATGTGTGCATTAATTACTGCAATTCATTACCCAAATAAACACAAGACTCAGCCTTTTGCTGGATACAAATTTAGGGACATATGATGTTTACAAGAGACAAAGGCTTGTGATCCTGCTCATGTTAATCTACAGATCAAAGTATGTGAGCCTATTCCTAGTGGAGGCTCCTTTGGGGATACCATAGCTAGGATCAATCCCCCATGCAGGCAGTGAATTATTACTGCTGAATACAAAAGCTGCTCACGTGACATCACTGTCCCCTAACAACAGGGACACTTGCTCCAGATAGTGCTTTAGAAGAGCATGTTTGCTTGATACTTCACTTTCCTATAATTAAACTCAAATCATAAAGCAGTAGCTGCGCAATGACACTGGTTCCCTTTGTAAACAAAAATATGCTTCAGTTCATAACAAATATTCATTTGAAAAAAACCCCATGAAAATATAATCTTTAGCTTCCCAGAGGCTTTCTAGAATATAAACAGAAGGTTAGAAAATATACAGCAAATAAAATTATACAGAAAAAAACCCTAGTGATTTATTAAAAAGGATTCATATGCTTCTGAATTACTATCCTTTTTCCTTAAGAATAGACTAGAAGAGTACTGGAAGAATGCAATTTTTCTAACAGCATCTGGATGCCTTTCTTCTTCATATTTTATAGATGGAGGATAAATTACCATACGAAGGTTTGTGTTCAAACCAGGACACAGAGCGTGATTTGAATCTCACTGCATTTTGCAAAGCTGCCATTGTGGGTGCAAGCTCACCCCCAGTCTCAGCAGCTCACGGCAGAACACCAGACTTCTCCTTTCCTGTTGGAGAACTCAGCTATTGTAATGGGATTCTGACCAAAACTGCAACTAATTAAGAATCAATCCAAGACCATTAGTAAGTGGGACTAAACTAGTCAGTGTTGCATATTTCAGAAGAGTTCACTTTAATGAGAGTTCTTGGACAGGAGAAGAAAAAAACCACAAGCAGATTAAAGATAGTACAGAGACCTTCTCCAGTTAAACTAAACAACTAATGCTGCACAGAAAGATGCTGAACTTGTAGTCCTCTCTAATTGATCTACTTAATGATCTTAAGGAAACTCAAAACAATACTGAAATCAGGTATTAACTGTGTGTTTGCATTCAGTAGCTGTTTACAAACATTAGCAATTGTTACATTTCGCAGTCTCTTCATCAGAGAAACATATGTTATTTTTTTCAGACATATTAACCTTAAAACTGTCAAGCCATTTTGTCTGGGCTTTGTACTTCCGCGACATCTGTTTATCTGCACTGCATTGCCTGCAGATGGTATTTTTAAATCTGTTAAGGGGTTTAGATGCCATGTTTTTGACAGCTGTGGTTTTGTCTCAGCACAGAACAAAACTTTGCTAAAAATGCAGTGCTGTGAGGGAATGATTTCATTGTCATTTCATTCGTTGTATCAGTTTATCCCCCTAATCTCTTCCTATTGTGAGTGCTCTTAATGAACTGGTAGCATGTAAATGTAATCGTTTTATGAGAAATAGGAAAAGGCAATATATGGCTGATGGAATTATTAGAGTGGGAATGCTTGCAACTGTATTGAGATAGTCTGATATTAAAGTACTAAAATCACTATACAGTAAATTGAAAGCACAAACCCAAACAATTTTGTGGTAAGTCCTAAACCTCACAACGACCTCAGCTCATGAGAAACTGCATGGACAAGGTTCTCAGTTTGAGACGAACTGAGCAGAGTGACAAATCTACTGTGAGCCCATTCAAGAAAAAAATTATATTCCTGGCATGTGAACATGAATTGGAGACCTCAGTACAACACCTTTATAATGGATCCATGTTTCAGATGTTTTGTAGAAGTTAAGAATTTACACAGGAATTACCAGGAACCTTCATTATTTCAAAACACCAGTTAATTTGGCTGCAGGGGACAGAACATGCTAGAACATCATTCCAGTATGCTTGTTTGAAACACACGCATCTTGGCTATTTAAATCTTAGTTTTCTACTTTATAGTCTAAATTGTAGTGCTTAACAGAGTGTGCACTCAGTGCAATATTCTCTTGCAATAAATATCAATCAGAACAATCATAAAGAGGCCAATAAATTTTGGATTATTTATCTTTGTAGGAAAAGTGAGCCCTAACCAGGAGCAGAAGGGTCTCCCTGGGATTGCCATTTACCTTAGTCCTTGCTTTGAATACGTGCACTCTTAATACATAGACTGTGTATATCTTGGAAGTGCTGGCTTTAGAAGCTGTATCTTTTCAACCAAGCTTCTTTAGCTTCTGTGGAAAAGAAAATGTGATTTATGTTTGTAATGCCAGGTGACAGTGAGAACAGCAATGAAGGAAAATCGTCTGGGGAGAGAGGAAAAAACTTCTTTAAGGTGTCTGGGAATACATCAGGACTGTCTGTTAAACATTTTTTATTTTTTATTTTGAATCTCACTCAGATACTGCTTTTTTAGTAACCTCAGATGTAAGTTGACATTTAAAGGGGAAAATGACTGACAGATCAACAGCTGTGAACTTCATTATTATTAATAAAAGAAGCAAACAAGTAATTTCAGCTCTTTCTTTCCTGTGGGCTGTGTACTAAGATCTGAGAAGGATCAAAATAAAGAATCCTCCTACATCCTGGTCAGAGCTTTTGGCTTTTACAAAATAAATGGAATGGAACAAAGTGTCACTTGAATGTAGAAAAGGATGTTTGGAATCAGGACAGGCCAGGAGAGACATGACCAGTATTTCCATGCCAGTGGAGATCCACAGACCAAGCGACAACCCTCAGGCAAGTAAGCCTCAGAACAGCTCCCAGATGCTATAGAAACTAATTCAGAGGAGTTGTGCAGCCATTTCACATCTCATGGGAAGAGAATTCTACTGACCTGACTTGTGCTGAATGACACAAGCAATATCCTTTTTGTTTTCTTTTTCAGTCTTAAGAGGTGATCTGAATTTTTCTCCATTTCTATTCTACCATCACTTAGAAAAGTAAAGCCTCTGCTTGAGCTGGAAGAGCTCGAGCTCTCTTACCACTTCTATCTTCTGGGCTTCATTTTTGCTCATTTATAATAAGCTATGAGGATCTCCTAATGCTCACTTAAGGTCAGCGTGTTCAACATAACAATATAGCTGCAGGACTATGAGTACTGTCAAGTTCAAGACTCCTTCCCAGATTGTATGTGGTGTCCTTTAGATTTTAGTTAAACATAAGTTATGAAGATTCAGTTTTTGACATCTTCCTGACTATTCACGTCCTTCTATGAGAGCAATGGACCTCAAACCAGGGGTGTCTGTGTAATTGGGGGTTTAGGGGTTTTATTTTAAGTTTTGTCTAGGTGTAGGTAGTTACAGAATGACAGGGGCCGGGTAAAAAAGCTGATAAGCAACTGGAGATCCTACCTCAGGTTCGTAATGATGTCTTGTTGGCTAAAATTTCTGATACTATGGAAACTGAGTAAGTCTAAAACATCATTATTTTTATTTTTACTTCTTGGCATGTATTTACTGCTTGCTTTCCCATGCAGTTTGCCAGCAACTTTTTTGCATGACTGCCAGCAATATGCAGACTGCAAGAGTCTACAATTGCCTTTGCCTTCCTTTCAGAAATTCATGAAATGCATTTCACATCCTTCCGAGGAAGATCTTTCTGTCTCTAAATAGGTATTGGAAGAAGTGAAGTAGAGTGGGAAACGCAGTTCTTTTCCTTCCTCTTCTTGGATGTGTAGCACTCCTTTACTGGTTCTCCTCCAAGATGCATTCCCCAAAGAGAACTCCCCCTTCTGTATTGCAGTGAGAGCCAGTTACTCCCCCAGAGAGGAAGAAGCCAAGGATGGTCAGAACAGAAACCAGGCAATGACTTTACTGACAGGGCAAATACATACAGCACCTGAACAAGGAAAGCACAGCAGGGTGGTGACAATAACAGGTCCTATTGGTAGACTAGTGATGACCAACGGCAAAAGCAAAATAACAAGTCAAGTTGAATGTCAGCCTGGGAAAGTCAAGCAACAATTCAGGTGTAGGTGTGGGACAAAGTACACCTGTGATGTACCTCACATGCAAAGAGTGTGTGCCCAGGCCTGAGCTTAAATGAGGCTTCTGACTCTGCGGGCAGTGTTGTGTGGAGGCCCCAGGTGGGGGGGAATTAAAGCCTACTAGTGCAGTCAAGGCTGTGGCAGGTCTTTACAGTTTACATTTCAATATACATTTTCCCCACTTTGTCCAGTCATTGAATTGAATTTTTTTTTCTCTGCCACCAAAAATGAACTTACACAACATCTCTGGAGTTCCCTACTTGTCCTCTTCTCCTCAGCTCTGCCTTTCTTCACTGGTCTAAGTATTTCAGTGCAAAGTGACAGCAGAAACAGTAAAACCTTGTTATAATGTCACTGGAGGTTTGGATAGAAAACAACATTTATTCTAACAAATACATGACTTCATAGCAATTTTGCACTGTGCTACAGACCATAGGTACTTGGAACCTCATAGTCCCAGCAAAGACATTTTTACTTCCCAACTATGACTGCTCACTTTATTAGAGGTGTTTATATAAAAGGCTGCAAAGCTTTGTTTTGAAAACCCACTGTCAGCACTAGCAAAAACTGGGCTCATATACAGTCCTTGCCATTCTCTTCACTCCTTGCCTATGATGTCAATGATTCTCATATCACTGCTTTTTTCCCCAGTGCTCTGTGACCTTGTTTTACTATCCAACAAAGTAGGAGAGCCAGCAGGATGCTTAATCAGTAACAATCATTTCAAATGAATGTTAACATGCCTATTTCCTGTCTGTCCTGCCCTCTTCTCCCACTCCCTTTGGCTATGATTTATTAAAATGATTTTGATTGAGTGCACGTGGACCCCTGCCTCCTACTGGAGAGTACCAGATGAGTTCAGCTGTGTGTCATAAACCTCATTCCTTCAGCAAATATGAGAAACACTGCAGTCTTTTATAGAAACACCTCTAATAAAGTGCATTTTACATATGATATGTAACTAAGTAGGCTAAATTATCACATAAGCGTAAAACTTCACTCTTAAATGCCTACGTTTTTGCCTCTACAGTGCTACAGAAGAGAAAAATCTTTGCACTGAAAACAAAAAATATGAATAGACCTAAAACATGTTATCTCTCCCCTGCCCACAACTCTGCACTGGCTTCCTTAAGAAGACACAGTCAAGGACAGCCCAACTGTTTGAGTGGCACTGTAAACCTGACATTTGTATGAAGCTGTTTAGACATATATTGGCTTTTTCAAGTTATTTTCTTATAAAAGAAAATGGCATCCTTGGATTTTTTTATTAATTCTAGAAACTAGTGCTACAGCATCTGATCAACTTTCTTCTTCTCCACTTCAGGAAAGGCTCCCTTATTTACAGCTGTTGAGCCAGTCAGCCCCCACCTCTTCCAAAAAAATAACCAAGTACATGTATGCCTAAGAGACACACTGGGCTAGGAGGAATAAAAATGTTCATCCTCATTATGAGTTTCTCTGATTTCCCTTGTAAAAAAAGCTCCCAAGTTTAGATGAATAAACTTTAGAGTTGAAGATTAGTTGTGTAACCCCAAAGACTGTGGGCTTCTCATTATTTGAGGGGTTTGGAAGTGTGGGCAGTATGTTCTAGACCAAACCAAAAAGTTTTCCATTGGCAATCACCTGTCAGTAATCCTTGCAAGCTATTAACTTAAGGTGGACTAGAACAGGACATACATAAAGATTAAATAGTAACGGCAGGTGCAGACCTGACTTCACAAGAGGCAGAGGGCTGAGACGAACCATGCCATGTAATGGTATGTCCAGCTGATCACTACAAATAAGAAGAGCACATGAGACAAACTGGCAGTTCAGTTAGGCAAAGGCATTACAATCAGTCACTCATTCCGACCTTAAAAATTGTGAAAATCTGTAAATGTTACATATTTTGTTTTCATAACATGTTCCTGGCACCAAAACACACAGAAGTAATTCATTCACCTCAGAAGCTTGTTTAGCCAAATTGCTTTGCTAGATTGGAGTATGACCAATATAAAATATTTAAATGGTTGCAATTTTGATCCCAACATAAATACCATGTGAATGAAGGTCCCTGTCTTTTATTTTGATGCAACTGTGTGGTTGCTGTACCTATTCAAAGGAAACAGAGCTCTATGGGACGTGTGCAGATCAGAATGAACAATGGGGGGCTAAAAAATTAATGCGATGGCCACCTAAGCTATGTATGCCTTTTAGTAAGAATGAGGTCAGTTTGTATGATTGATGGCTTATGTTATCCTCCTTCAGGTAAAACATTTGCTGCAGGCAGGTTTTCTGCAAAAACTTCAGAACTGAGATCTAAAAATGATTTTGCTTTTTGAATAATTTCTCTCTTTCTTTGAGCAAACATAAAAGGGTCCACAGAGCGGTAGTGTATAAAGACAAAGCCAGGCTGAGTATTACATCTTACCAGAGATACACAAGTGTTAGTCAAATGGAGAGATGACAGTGAAATAAGGAAACAATTAAACTTCAATAAAAGAAAATAAGGAATAACATTCCAGTCAGATCTAATCACATTATGTATAGCATAACTTTCAAATTGGAAGTCCATAAAACCCAACCACACCTCAGCCAGTTTGTCTGACATCCGTCCTGTATAATAAGCCAGAGGTTCCTAGTGGCACAACTCCAAGGCGGTTTGAAACCATGTCTGCAGTGGGGATGGCACTGAGCCATGTTTCCAAAGAAGCAGAACAATTTTTCTGGTGGGAAAGGTCAGGCAGTACAGAGCCATGAGGGATGAAATTCCCTTTTTTGGCTTTTTCTCCATTCATATTCCTTCAAATATATTTCTTTTAATAGCAAAATTAGTTCACAAACAGAAAACCTGCCATTAAAACAACATTAAAGATCCATTTGAACTGACAGGCAGCAGGAAATCCAGAACCCAGGCAACCTGGCTTGTGTCATTATAAAACTTAGCAAAGAATTTGACAGATCGCTAGTTACCTTTGCTCTGTCCTGTAAGTCTGTCCTCCAACAGACTTTTTAAGCTCTTACCTAAAACAGATAAAAAGAAGATAATGCAATGGATTCACATTCCCATGTTCTATATTTGATGTGCGCAAGGCATGCATGAATATAATAGTTAATTTACATTTATCTTCCATTTTAAATAATAATCTTATTCATAATGCATAAATGGATTCCATATGCTACTAGACAAATCATTCCTAATTTTCATTATGGAAGCACATATGGGAACTGTGCTCACCCAGGGTGAAATCCTGGCTCCACTGAACTCAATGGCAAATTTCCCACTAATTTTGCAAGGGCCAAGATTTCACCCTTGATGTGCAGCCACCCTAATAATACAAAGAGCCAATGCTGAGAAATAGCATCCTGTCCTCTTGTTCTCTCTTCTCATACATCAGATAAGTTTGAGCAAGAACTGAGTGATTGCTGAACTAATGTAATCCATTCCTGTAAGTTTTCTAGCTTGCATCAAGCTCTTTGCTTGGAGTGGGTGATACAGGTTTAATTATAGTAGACACACAGCTGTCTGTAAATGTTATCAGTGC